ATAATTAATAAACCATAAGATCTAGTTTGCAATCCACAAGTAGTGTGTACACACAACATGTGTACAAATAGTACGACAAAGAGTACAAACCATACAAACCAATCATAAAGTGCATATTTAAAAGATGTACTACAAATTTAAATAACCACCATCATTAACTAATCAAGCTTGTCACCCCGCTCACCATCAGCACCTGCCTCCACAGATTGTGCAATCTGTAAAACAACTTCCATACTATCCTTAAGTGGCAGCTCCTCGGAAACTGCGGTTGCCACGACTCCATCCTCTGCTGGCTGCTTTTGAAGTGTTGAATCAAAGGGCTGCGGAACTGCTGGATCACGAGTAACTCCATCCTTCTCCACTGCTGGCTGCTGCATCACAAGTGCTGGCGTCTTCCGGAACTCAGCTGGCTGCTGCGGAAGTGCTGGATCACTAGCACTTCCAGTCTTCTCCACTGCTGGCTGCTGCCGCACAAGTTCAGGAGTCTTCTGGAGCTCAGCTGGCTGCTGAGGAAGTGCTGGATCACTAGCACTTCCACTCTTCTCCACTGCTGGCTGCTGCCGCACAAGTGCTGGAGTCTTCTAGAGCTCAGCTGGCTGCTGCGGAAGTGCTGGAGCACGAGCACTTCCAATCTTCTCCACTCCTGGCTGCTGCCGCACAAGTTCAGGAGTCTTCTGGAGCTCAGTTGGCTGCTGCAGAAGTGCTGGAGCACGAGCACTTCCAATCTTCTCCACTGCTGGCTGCTGCCGCACAAGAGCTGGCTTCTTCATATTAAATAGAGCTACATCATCATCAGTTTCCTCCTCACTCCTATCTCCATCATCATCATCGTCACCACTCCGATCACCATCATCGCTCCCATCACCATCACTACCACTCCCACTTCCATTCCCACTCCCACTCCCACTCCCACTCTGATACCCACCTTCACTCTCACTCTCTACATTATCAGTTGTTGTAGCTTTCTCAACAACTTCAGCACCTTCAGAAACATTTGTTGTAACTTTCGCAACAAATTCAACACCTTTAGAATCAGTGTGCACCTTGATATCAGCTAGGTATAGGTGACACTGATTTATCTGTCTTCGGTACAACTTACCTTGCTGTTCCAACTCACATAATGCACTTTGTAACCTTCTCCTAATCAACTTAACCTACAACAAAACAAATAAAAGAAAACACAAACATAAGTTAGATAATGTACACAAATAATACAAACAGTACAAATTAATAGACAAAAACATACAAAGTGTACAAACAGTGCACAAAGATACAAAGTATACAAACAGTACAAAGTAATAGACCAAAACATACAAAGTGTACAAACAGTGCAAAAAGATACAAAGTATACATACAATACAAAGGATGAGACAAAAACATACAAAGTGTACAAACAGTGCAAAAAGATACAAACTATACAGACATTACAAAGGATGAGACAAAAACATACAAAGTGTACAAACAGTGCAAACAGTACAAAGTATACAGACAGTACAGAGGATGAGAGAAAAACATACAAAGTGTACAAACAGTACAAAGTATACAGACAGTACAGAGGATGAGAGAAAAACATACAAAATGTACAAACAGTGCAAACAGTACAAAATATACAGACAGTATAAACACTACAGAAAACATATCATAAAGCATATAAAGCATATGAACAATCTGTACAAAGTAAGCAAAGAACACATACAAAATCATACAAACTCACCTCTTGAACAGTTTTGCCATCCAGATTCAAATCGAAATATGGAAATTCATCTCCAATCCCAGAACCCTTCTCACCTCCAGCAACCTCAAAACCACTAATACTCTGAGCCATCTTCGGATGAGTAGTAGAAGAAATGGGTGCATCCCTTAGAACAAACACCTTACCAAAATCCTTCCCAAACTTCTTTTCCATTTCTGCCTTCCTTTGCTTCAAATTTGTCGAACTCCACAACTGACAGGTTGGCACCAAATTACTAACACAGCGGCTGGCCTCTTCCTCATTCACAGTTGTCCTATCGAGGAAACAAACTAGCAAGAAATAGACATATCCCTCAACCCAACTGTGATGCTGACTTGATGTCACCTTATCACAAATGAGACCATACACATAACCGCACCAATCATAGTCACAAAAATACTTAACCATTCCTTGAGAAAGAAAAGTCAAGTATTCTGTTGTCACCGTCCTAGATGTAACAGATTCGAAAAGGCGGCAAAAAATCATCAGCACATACATATTCACCCACCTAGAATCAGACTTCTCCGCTCCCATACAAGCCCTCAAATTCTCAAAACCAACAGTACCCTTCCCAGTTTTACTGAAACCATAATCTTTACCAAGGTTAGAATTCACCTTTGATGTTTTCTGCAAACACACAGCATTTGGTCCCCTTGGAAGACCACAAACTCTGTAAACATCATCTTCTGTAATACAAATCTTCTTTCCATCATCCAAGTGGATACAGTTATTCTTCCCATCCCACCTTGAAATAATGAACTTAATAAGTTCATTGTCCAGATTCTTCATCTTCAGCGAAAAGACAAAATCCAAGCCCAGCTGCTTAATTAATTGCACCCTGCCAAGAGATAAAGGATGCAGCACATGACTCATAACCTCTTTCGGGCTGCATCGATAGTTCAAAGCAGCTTCATTCCCTCCCCCCGGAGCTCGCTTCTGCCTTTTTGGACGAACTGCTGCCTTCTGCTTCTCTCCAGCAACAACCTTTCTTTTCCTTCTCCCTGTATCAGAAAGCTGAACTGCCTTCCCCTTATTCTTAAGGTTCTCCCCCTTCCTCTTGGTTTTAGTAACTTCAGCTTCAGCAGCATGGGTACTTGACCCTCCCACCTCTGAACCTTCTACCATCCTTACTTAACAGCTACAAAAGCAACAACAGAACAAGTCAACCAACAAATACAACAAACCATACGAAGCAGAGTAATAAACTATACAAACCGCACAAAGTGTACAAACTATATGAATGACTCGCTAAAACACAACACCTAACAAAGGCCAAGTGTAACCAATGAAAGGGACTGCAGTATAGTGGCTCAAGTGATAAATATCGAATCCACGGGTCTCTAGAGTTACTATTACTCAGCTTCAGTTTATTATTTAGCAAATCAGATTAAGATGAAAGAACTAAAACTACTCTAGCAAACTACAGTTAAAGTTAATCTAATTACAGGTTGGGAACTCACTTAGGTATGATTCCCCCTAGCCACTAGCCAGATTAACGATTGATGATCTCTAACCTGTTTCACTTTCATTCACAATGCGGAGAATCCTTGACTAGACCTTGAGTCTCGACTAAAGGAACAAGGCCCTCTTGAGTCAATTGCCTAGAGGGACGTATCCTTCTCTAGAACAACTGATCAAGGCGTTCTGAACTAGACTCCCTCTATCGAAAGAGGTTCTCAATCGATACAAAGCAGTGAATCAACCCTCGACTAAAGCAATCGATCCACTACTATCAATCTATGGTGCTCTATTGACCTAATCAGGTATTCCCTCTCATAGAATCAAAACAGAATCAATAATCTCGACTAAAGTAGAATTGAATCATGAAAACATGCATAGATTGAATATGAACTCAAGATTATCCAGTTAGAGTACTCATACAATCATCCAATCAAACAAACATAGCTAGGGTTCCTCAAAACCTAAGTGAAGGGAAGTTACTCCATAGAGAAGAGAGAGACTGCAGTAAGAATCTTCAGATGATCAGTCTTCAAGTCCGGGCTTGTTCCTCGAGCTTCCAAGGCGAAGAAATCCTCCTTCTCTACTCCAAGAATGCCCTCAAATCGCCCTCTCTCTCTAGGGTTCGTCCCTTGGGTGTTTGGGATCCAAAACCCAGCTCTCCCTCTTCTTTGGTTCGGAATTTGGCTTAAAACCAGGAAATCCCGACTCGCACGGCCAGGGTGCACGGCCGTGCATATCACCATTCTGGCCGTGCACCTCAAAACGCGGCGTATCAATTAGTTGAACCTCAGCCAACTCGCACGGCCAGAATTGTATGTTGCACGGCCGTGCGGATTTCACTTGTGCCCGTGCGTGCCCACGCACAATCCCGCACGGCCAAACTGGTCACTTGCACGGCCGTGCGTGGCCACGCTGGTCTGCCCGTGCAGCTTGCTCAGCCTCTGTTTAATGCTTCGTTTCTCCCTCGTCCGGACTCCGAATCAATCGCCGTTTGATCCCAGACGCTCGTAGTCTCGTCCTCTTTCGTTTCATAACAAGCTTGCATGATTCTTTGTCCATAAAGTGAGGTAGAAATCCATTCTTCTTCAGGTCATGCCCGAGTTTCTTCTCTCGAATCGTCAATTGATCTCTGATTGACTTGAAACTTGCGCCTATGCTTCACTTTATGTGCTAGGACCTGAAATGGGACAAAGGAACACAACCTAGCATAAAATAGGCCAAAGACGCAATAATTCAAGCTCAAACAATCAAGAAACAAAGGGGAAAACATGTGCAAATACCGAGTCATCAAATCCCCCCACACTTAACTGTTTGCTTGTCCCCAAGCAAACCTAACTCAAACCAATGCAACTCTTCAGACCTCTATAGCAACAAACACCCCAGATCGTAGGTAGAGGACTTCCTAGATCATTTAGCAACTTACGAGGTCAACCGACACACAAGTCATCTCATAGCTTCTTCGGCGAGAGCACTAGTATCGAGTCGGCATCATGGCAAATAGTGAACAGAGGACAAATGAATTGTGGATGCAGAGATTCTCAAAAACAAAGGATCATGGACTCACATTTTTCAAGGTGCTCTATTTTCTTCTTGAAGATGGTTGGAACCCCTTTTCTTTCTGTTTTGCTTGTTTTCTGTTATTTTTTTTCCTTTTTTTTTTCTTTCAAGGGTCCCAACCTGCTCTTACCGGCCATGCCAGGAGCGGATGTCTCGAGCCTCGTGCGGGGGAAAGACATGTAAGGGGGCTGGAGGTAGTAGGTGGAAATTGGGAACGAATTCCCGTCTCCCCTTACACACTTTCGCCCTATTCGCACGGGAGACGTTATTTTGAAGCACATTTTCGAGCACCTGCTATTTTCAAAACATGATACAAGAGTCCATGACAGGTAGAAATCCACAACACCACACAATTCAAGGGTCCTAAGATCACTAATTCACTCAATCAACCAACACAATATGAAGAAGAAACGAGACTTCTTAAATGCATCAACATCCTCCATAGTGCTACACTACCTCCCTAGGTTGCATATTACTATAAAGACTGTCAATTCAAAGCATACTGAGCAGGCAATTGCACGGAAACACGTACTTGGAGCCCTCAAATTTAAAAATTTGGACAGTGGACTAGGCTCTAAGCACACAAACAGCCAAACATTCACCCGCATACATAATCGAACATCCCCCCACACTTAACCACGACATTGTCCTCAATGGAGGAAAGATAAGGAGGGTAGAACGAAGTTACCAGATCAAGGGTGAATGATGATGAACGGGTCAGGCGGTGCATTCCAGGAAGAGAGAGTAATCAGAACACAAACACCACACAAAATCTCACAAAGGTTGAGTTATTGACTCTAAAATCAAATAACAAAACTGACTCAACCGAGGAGAAATAGAGAAAGAAATGCAAACCGACTGGTTGGGTTGCCTCCCAACAAGCGCTTCTTTCACGTCGTGAGCCGGACGATGGCTCCTAAGTTTCGGTCCATGCTAGAACCTCCTTGAAGTTGAGGTTCTCGTCGATGAGGTGGAGTCTCAAGTCATGAGCATGTGGTGAGGCAGGTGATGAGGGCTCATGTACTTGATGCAGATGAAGTCTCCACCCTCGAGACCTCTTCTTCTCTTCTCTCGTCTCATTGCCCCAAACCAGATATGACAGTATCGATTGGCCACCATCGCGTCCACCAAGAGGGACCGATGTCGAGGTGGCCTTGGTCTGGCAAAGAGACACTGCAAATGGGTCCTTGCTAAGCAGTTCCTCGAAGTTTGGTGGAGATATCACATGTAACTCATGGCCGGTGCAAGCCTCTTCCACCTCAACTTCGTCCTCAGCCTGGACGCCAATTGCTTCTTCAACCTCCCTTCCTTCTTCATGTGGTATCACCCCTGGGAAATGATCAAGAACTCCTCTAGCTTCACTTTCGTCATCCTCCACAACTTCTTTCTGCACCCTTTCTTGCTCTTCTTCTTCTAGCACGGATTGGAGAGCAAGTTGCCAAGCAATTTCTTTCATGAGATCTTCTTGCATCTCCTCACTCATGCCCGCCTCTTCAAAGCTCAGTTTGGGGTGTGGGAAGGTGTGGTCGGCTACGACATGACAGGCCTGATCATGATCATCACGGGAGCTCTCCGTGACGACTTCAGTGTGTTCCACAATGCCCTTGTAGCCTTCTTCTTCCTCCTCCTCTTCTTGTATGGTAGCAGAAGGGTGATCTGGAGCAGGTTGCGCCCAAGATCGCTCAAGATCATCGACGCTCTTCTTAAGGCTCAGGAGGATCTCATCTGTTTCACGATAGGCCTGGACACACTGATCCATCCTGGAGCATGTTCTCTCACAGTCTCGAGCATACTGCTCCATGAGTAACTCCAGCGCCGATGGCCCTTCTGGTTGTGGGAGAAATTCTTCTTGATAATGAGGTTGTTCTTGATATGCCCAGGGGTCCGGTTGTTCTCCGTAGTAAGGGGGTTGGTACTGGAACCCGAATCCATAGTCTTCTCCGCCTTGATTGCTCCAGGGAGTCTCGGGGTAATACCACCCAGATGGTGGTGGATACCCCCAATGATTGGAGAAGCCATTAGGATCCATGATTCAGATCTGCACCAACAAAAACAAAAACACCCAAGTGAAAAGCAAGGGTGGAAAAGAAAAGAAAAACGCTAAAGTAACAAACTTCTGCCTTTCCTAATACTCTAGAAAGTCCCCGGCAACGGCGCCAAAAACTTGACTCGCTAAAACACAACACCTAACAAAGGCCAAGTGTAACCAATGAAAGGGACTGCAGTATAGTGGCTCAAGTGATAAATATCGAATCCACGGGTCTCTAGAGTTACTATTACTCAGCTTCAGTTTATTATTTAGCAAATCAGATTAAGATGAAAGAACTAAAACTACTCTAGCAAACTACAGTTAAAGTTAATCTAATTACAGGTTGGGAACTCACTTAGGTATGATTCCCCCTAGCCACTAGCCAGATTAACGATTGATGATCTCTAACCTGTTTCACTTTCATTCACAATGCGGAGAATCCTTGACTAGACCTTGAGTCTCGACTAAAGGAACAAGGCCCTCTTGAGTCAATTGCCTAGAGGGACGTATCCTTCTCTAGAACAACTGATCAAGGCGTTCTGAACTAGACTCCCTCTATCGAAAGAGGTTCTCAATCGATACAAAGCAGTGAATCAACCCTCGACTAAAGCAATCGATCCACTACTATCAATCTATGGTGCTCTATTGACCTAATCAGGTATTCCCTCTCATAGAATCAAAACAGAATCAATAATCTCGACTAAAGTAGAATTGAATCATGAAAACATGCATAGATTGAATATGAACTCAAGATTATCCAGTTAGAGTACTCATACAATCATCCAATCAAACAAACATAGCTAGGGTTCCTCAAAACCTAAGTGAAGGGAAGTTACTCCATAGAGAAGAGAGAGACTGCAGTAAGAATCTTCAGATGATCAGTCTTCAAGTCCGGGCTTGTTCCTCGAGCTTCCAAGGCGAAGAAATCCTCCTTCTCTACTCCAAGAATGCCCTCAAATCGCCCTCTCTCTCTAGGGTTCGTCCCTTGGGTGTTTGGGATCCAAAACCCAGCTCTCCCTCTTCTTTGGTTCGGAATTTGGCTTAAAACCAGGAAATCCCGACTCGCACGGCCAGGGTGCACGGCCGTGCATATCACCATTCTGGCCGTGCACCTCAAAACGCGGCGTATCAATTAGTTGAACCTCAGCCAACTCGCACGGCCAGAATTGTATGTTGCACGGCCGTGCGGATTTCACTTGTGCCCGTGCGTGCCCACGCACAATCCCGCACGGCCAAACTGGTCACTTGCACGGCCGTGCGTGGCCACGCTGGTCTGCCCGTGCAGCTTGCTCAGCCTCTGTTTAATGCTTCGTTTCTCCCTCGTCCGGACTCCGAATCAATCGCCGTTTGATCCCAGACGCTCGTAGTCTCGTCCTCTTTCGTTTCATAACAAGCTTGCATGATTCTTTGTCCATAAAGTGAGGTAGAAATCCATTCTTCTTCAGGTCATGCCCGAGTTTCTTCTCTCGAATCGTCAATTGATCTCTGATTGACTTGAAACTTGCGCCTATGCTTCACTTTATGTGCTAGGACCTGAAATGGGACAAAGGAACACAACCTAGCATAAAATAGGCCAAAGACGCAATAATTCAAGCTCAAACAATCAAGAAACAAAGGGGAAAACATGTGCAAATACCGAGTCATCAATGAACATGAGAAACAAAGGGTACAAACTGTATGAACATGAGAAACAAAGTGCACAAACTGTACAAACTATATGAACATAAGAAACAAAGTGTACAAACTGTATGAACATGAGAAACAAAGTGCACAAACTGTACAAACTGTATGAACATGAGAAACAAAGTGCACAAACTGTATGAACCATGAAGAGTACAAACAGAGGTATGAAAACACACAAACATTACTAAACAATCAATACAAGGAAACCCAGAAAGTATACAACCAACCCATTCCAACAATACAAACCCAGAAATCAACCCACAATTAAAAATGTGATTCTGACCTAGCATCAAAATCGGTTAGGGTTTTAAAGAATTGCCGAAATAAGAAATGCGGTTTTGACTTACCCAAAAAGCGGTCTTCGTATTCACAAATAATCGCCGGCGTCGGCGCAGACGGAGAAGCGAGAAGAAAGCCTGCCGAGTTGAGCCCGACACACCGCCGACGCAAAGGGGGAAAATGAAATATGTCGATGGAAACCGCCGTCGGAGCCGCTGAAACAGAGAGTGAGTGACTCTCGATGGAAACCGCCGGACGAGGAAGACCGCCGACGCAAAGGAAGACAACCCGAAAAAGGAAACCGCCGGATGAAAGCCGCTGAAACAACCGCCGAAGAAGCCGCTGAAACAGAGAGCAACGCGCCGCGCCGAACGAGGAAGACTCTCGATGGAAACCGCCGGGCCGGACGAGGAAGAACGCCGACGTAACTGACGAATTTGTAGACGAAAATGGCGAATCTGAGAAAATGGGGGAAACAGAGAAGAAGAAGTCTCTCTCCCGTGAAAAATGGTTTGTGATTCTCTCTCCTCTCCCACGAACAGCTTTTATTCTGACATAAAAAAACGAATTTTTTTTAAATAAAACATAAATGACCAAAACGCCCCCGTCCCTACTGCTAGGCTATTCCACCGTCGGATCTAAAAAGTAATCAACGGTTGAGAGAGGCTTAGTCTGATGACTAAGCCCCCCCACCCCTATTCACCAGATCTTGAGCCCTTGTTATCTACTCACTTTGGCTTAAATCCATGAACGAAGTCCAATTCCAGTTGAGCTCTTACTCCGACAATCGATCCATCCTTGCCAGGATCTGAACGCCGACAATTCTTCGCTCCCAGACTTTCTTTTATGCCCATCCATTGCTGGGGGCCTGACAAATTAAAGCACCAAAAGCCGCAACTTGATCTTCACAAGTGATTTCCATCACGTCACTTCACTTTATTTTCGGTTCCGCTACGACGAGAGGGGAGGTATGAGATGGGAGTGGGGGTTTCTCAGTGGCTGTTGTTGCTTAATGCACTGCTTTGAGAGTAACGTAGGGTTAATTAAAATGATAATGGAAATGTTAGCCGTGACGTTACTCATGAAGGAATTAGTAGGGGGAATGAGTAACGGGTAAATGGGAGGATTTTCTTCTTCCTTCATCCTATTTATCTCGTTACTGCTTCTTCTAATAAAATAGAGAGAGTTTCAAGGAAACGTTTGGTGTGAAAAGATGGAGTTTAACAGGTGTGGGATTATAAAGGAATTAAAGGTAGGTTTAATTTGGGTTTGGAAGTAAAACGTAGGGAGAGGGAATTCTAGAGGAATGGAGTAACCATATGAGAAATATCTTTTCCTTTTTTTTAACAATATATAATATAATAATTAATATTATTATTAATACTAATTCTCGGTTGTCACCCTTTGTACGTAATCATTGATTCAACCTTTCGGTTGAACCCAGACCTAAATGTCGAGGTGTTACAAAATCTGAAAATTCTGGCTGGTTAGACCAAACACCGAAATTCAGTGTTACACACATTGTATCCAAAAACAAACACCATTCAAAAGGTTTGAACCAAGTACCTCATGTTGATTTTAGTTTCAATTATACACCAGCATACTACTTTGTTGTATATATTAACCTAATAGGTGAGTTCTACGGTACCTAGAGTGAAATCTGGGGTATCGCATACCTTGAGTATGAAAATACTATCCAGACCTTGAATTGACTAATCTTTCGCACACAATACTATACTCTAACCCTTAATGATCAAAATGTAGGACTTATTTCTAAAAATCTTATACCCCAATATCAATTTAATTAGAAACAACAATCAACGGTTATGATCCGTCCAAATATAAGAACAAAACGAATGCACCATCTTAGGATTTATAGTTCATAAAAATAGATAATTAGGACCTAAGGTTTATTCATTATGGGCTAGGGTATAATATCACGCCCGAAAATCCTGCTAATTCAAGATCTAGATATCATTTTTCATACTCAATGTATGTGGTAGCCTGATTCACTTGGGGTACCGTAGAAGTCACCTAACCTTATTTATTATATATCTAATACTATATTTTACACAAATCATTATAAGCATTGTTAAATTCATTTTATATACTTTTTTTACGCATATAATTATTTACTATTAGTTTCCAATTCTTAGCTATAAATTATTTTGTGGGAAATAATTGTTCTAAATTCTTTTTCATGACTAACTTTTCTAATGTATTTTATTAAAATCGGCATAACCGGCATGACACTGGTTGTTCTATTGTCAGATCATTCCACTTGCAAAACCGATGCATCAGTATAAACCGGTTTGACAACCTTGATTTTGTAGATGAACACTACGCACCTGGGGCTCTTTAGCTATGGCCCTAGCGCTGCGAGAAAGAAGGAGATAAGACGACAACAATCATGACCGCGATAGCGGAAGGGAAACCTCGACCAAGAGACGGAACAGGAGAGTCATATACCCTTCACCTTTAGAATGTTATATGGATTAATGGATAGATATGAATGACAAATGCGATTCATTCTTTTGAAAAAGATAACAACAACATAGGAGAGAGGAAGTGGGGAGCCACCTAGTGGCTACCAACTGATGCTCACCCAGAATAGAAGTCGCCGAGTCCAACTCGTCGCGGTCAAGCTTCTACCGCCAGCCGCCGGCTGGAGTGCGCTGGAGCCTGGATAGGACTGCTGGTCGCCACTACTGGAGGACGTAAGGAGGAGCTGAGGAGGCGAGCGTCGACTGCTGCTTACAACAGTTGCGGGCTTGCTGGTCGCCGCTGTCCAAGAGGACGAAAGGAGGTGCTGAGGTGGCGAGGTCCGGCGAGAAGCTACCGCCTATGAGGAAAGGAGGACGAAGGTGGAATCTTCGTTGGCTGCTTCCATCTCGATTAATTAGGGGTTTATTTTAGGATTTTCCCCATAGTTATCCCCGTAGGAGAGCAGCAAGGATACGACAATATACAATTTGGCTACTATCCTCGTAGCTAAATTCGTGAGGACATCCTCGTACAGCCAGGATGTGGCCACATCACACAAGCCGGGAATGGATAATTGTCGAGAGACGAGCTTGGGTTAGAAGAGGAGCAACCGAAAGTAAGCCCGCCTCAGCAACTTCAGTTGAGGGGGGAAGTGGTTTTGGCAAGCAAACGAAAATTGCCCTCTCTCCCCTCTCATTTAATGAAACTACCTACAAAAAACCAGCAACCGTCATTTCTTTCTTTGGGACATTTTCCTTGCCCTTTTTTCCCGCTTATGTGCGCCATTGAAGAGAAGAAGGAGAACAAAGAACAATATATCTTCAGATCTGGTTTGGGCTTCGCCGACAAAGGCACTCCTCAACTCAGAGTGAAGGGTAAGTGTTTGGAAGATGGATGATAACATGATCAAAGCTTATGAGGTCGATCTTGGAACCCGGAATGCTAATGTCATCGATCTTCGAACTCATAACTCAGAGACGGATGACATCAATCTTGCTAATACCAACCTCAAAGTTTATGGTGAAGATATATACTTTAGGTTTATGGGGCTCGCAAGAGTGGATGGATGCTTTTGCAACAGTGGAATGGAGTATGTGAAGACAAGAACTCGACCTTGCTTGTTCACTTTACTTATATATGTTTTGGTGTGTTGGTTGTTGTTGAGCATTGAATAAATGTGGTTGTTTAGTTAAATGTTGTAGGGTTAAGATTAGGGTTGATGGTTGGCATTTATTGTGCATGTTGTCTTTTTTGTACGTGCATGAAGAAATGTTCGTGAATAGAAGAATTTTTTCATGTGGATGAATATATGTTGGGTCGTGGGTGAATATATAAGTTGGTTTGTGGATGAATATGTGTTGGTTTCTGGGTGAATAGTCGTTGGTGAATACAAGTGGGTGTGTTGATGAATATTGATATGTTTTATGATGAATATATGTTCTTTATTGGGTGAAAATAATTGGAGTTGTTCACAAATATATGTTGGTTCGTGGGTGAATATCAATTGTTTTGTGATTGAATATAAGTTGGTTGTGGTGAATATTAGTTAGTTTGTGGGTAAATATTAGTTGGTTCGTGAGTGAACATATGTTGATTGTGGGTGAATATTAGTTGGTTAGTGAGTGAGTATATGTTGGTCTCTGATGAAGATATGTTGGTTGTGGATGAAAATAAGTTGGTTTGTGGGTGAATACAACAAGTTGGTTTGTGGATGAATTGTTGTTCAGTTTCTAAATGTGAACCTTTAAATTGCATAGTGCTAAAAGATAAGGATGCAAGGGGAACATTGCAGTTTAAGACGGTGGAAGAGAGCTATTACTTCTATTGAAGCTATGCTCATGAATGAGGTTTTAGTGTGCGCATACAATGTGAACATACCAGGTAGAGAACTTTAAGGGTGAGCTAGAGGAAAATTATTGTTACATTTACTAAATGCAGTAAAGTATGGTTTATTCCACCAAAACTTATGGTAAAACAACGGAGACGAAGAAACGTCAATGCTCGGAGGATAGTGTTGTTGTATAAAAGTAGCCGAAAAGGAAAGACATGATATAAGAGTGGGTTTCCAAGCTTGTGCTGACTTTTGGTGGGATGAAGATAATGATTCATTTGTGGTCACTTAATTCCAAGAATTGCACAATCATGATTTGCACTCTAACGACCACTCGCACTTTCTACGGTCTAACAAGTTCGTGAGTGAGGCACAAAGCCTAATGGTTGAAGCAAACGCGCATGAGAGGTGAGTTTGAGTTCTTCTCATAATCTCATGGCAGTGTGTGTTGGTGGGTACGAAAATCTTACTTTCTCTAGGACGGATTAGAAGAATCACCTTAACACGTTCGTGAGTGAGGCGCAAGGCCTAGTGGTTGAAGCAAACCTGGACGCAGGGGTGAGTTTGAGTTCTTCTCATAAGCTCTTAGCAATGTGTGTTGGTGGATACAAAAATTTACCTTCTCTAGTACTGATAAGAAAAATCACCTTAACAAGAGAAGCCAAAAGAATATGGCACGTAGTGAGTCTTTCGGAATACTTCCAGGATCAACTCACTAAGTATCCTAAATTTTATTATTCATTGAAGGTAAATTGTGATGAACAACTACCCAAAATTTTTTGGACAAATACTACGATGCGAGCTGATTAGGCACTATTTGGTGGCTCGATCTCATTCAACACAACATAGGGAACCAACAAGAAATATTGTTCATTGGGTATGCGATTAAATATGTTATTCTTATAATTAATGCAATTTTTTTCTTCATATAAGAAATATCGCTCATTGGAAACTTTTCAGTATAAGTTTGGAATATTTTAGTATTACTCTGGACTGTTTCAGTATTAGTCTTGACAGTTCATTCAGAAGCTTATACCTAGTATGAATTGGCTGAAGTCTTTATACTTGTGTTTTGTAGGGATGTTTGTTGGTTTTAATCATCATCGAAAAACTTGCATCTTCTGGGCTTGTTTGTTTGGTGGTTCTTCGACGCTTTTATTCGTTGCATGGATAAGAAACTCACAGCCCCAATCTTCACTGATCAAGATCCAGCAATGGCCAAAACTCTTCGGAAAGAGTGGTCTGGCGTCTTCCATACAGTATGTACGTGGCACATCCTAATGAATGGGAAAAAGCACATTAGTAAGGATTATAGGTTTTGGGATATGTTACAATGCCATCTCATATTCCTATTCAATGACGTTGACAGTGAGGCTGAATTTGACATTCCATGAAAAACCATGCTTGATGAATGCTTCCCCGATTGTGACTTAGCGAATGGCGATCCGTGGTTGCAGTACCTACAAAAATTTCGGAAATAATGTTTGTCTATTGGCTTAGGAGTCAATTCATTGTAGGTATTTTGACAACTCAGGCCAGCGAATCATGCAATGCATTATTGCGACATTTTTTTTGCAACCAAACCACAATTTGGATAAATTCTTTACACACTTTAACATATATGAATACACATTAATGTTTGTAGAATACAAGTTCGAATATGAGCCAACTACAACTGTCATTGTCTATAATAGTGATATTACTCATGTATATTTGTGATTACAGCTTGCTAGCTGACAAAAGATACAAAAAGAAGATTTTTTACTATGGAGCCATTGAGATCGTACCCAATATCTCATTGCCATACAACAAGATCTCGAACCAAGCTGCCAAGGTTTTCACTCCTCGCATGTTTGCAAGGTTACAACAACGGTATGAACAAATGGAAGATTATGAACTTGAACCACGCTCGAATGCAAGAGACGATGTTTGATTGGGTACAACACATTCTATATGGAAAATGATGTGTGTTGGGACGAAGGTGTTGTTCTTGTTGATGTTGAGAGGACAAAACTAGAGTGTGGGTTAGGTTGTTCAACCTAGTTTTGACGCGAAAATAATGAACCTGATCCGCCACATCACTCAACCCGCCATGTCATCTTGTCGAACCCAACCCTTGAACCCAACCTGATCCTGAACGATCCCCCTCACTCCAATCTCCCTTAACCCCGACTCTCTTGCCAAACAACCACCACCAAATTGCAAACCCTAGAATCAACCGACCAAGGGCTCTGATCATGTCAGCGACAATTACGATGGTCATGCTCTTACCGCTCAATCCTTCGTACTTCCCCAGCGGCCGACTGCACAACTTGCCATTACCTTCTATGTCTGCCTCAGGAAGGGGAGGGTAAGGGAAGGAAGTAGAGTTTATAGAGTTTTTTGGTAGGTGGATCGGTGGGAGTATGAAGAAGGAGACGATGGTCGTAGTGGTGGTTGGCGCGACAGAGATTTGTATAAATGGTTCACGTAAAACTTCAATTTAAAGTCCCTCTTCATTATTCGACCATCATACAAATCAAGCGACTTGGATCCGGCAGCTCCGGTTGATATCGCGCTGAGGTAGAGCTCCATGTTGAGCCCGACTTTGTAAGCATAGATGATTCCTTTCCCCAATCCAATCATTGCTGAAGTTGTGGTGATTTTATTCGCCAATTTAGCGAATTGGTCTTTACTTGGAGAACCCAGGTAGTTGACTTTCCCAATGAGGGCAAGTAAAGGGTTTAATTTCTCGGCGATGGATTGATCCCTGCCAACGAATATCACCAAGGTCCCGTTTTTCGAGCCGAGATCGGCACCAGAACAGAGCAACAATCACCGGTCGTAGGCGCTCCCCTTCCCGATCCCGTTTTCTCAGCTGCTTCGCGTCTTGTTTGTCCTAGACCATGGCGACATGACGTGCATTCTCTTTGTAATGGGTTAGGAACTCAGGATCGTGGAGTCCGGTCGTGGCAGCGAATTTCACTTCCAACAGTGTTATTGTTTATGGATGGTGGGCAAAAGGGGAGCCGTCAGTTGAAGAAGAGGTAGGGACGAACCAAAGAAAATGCTGGGTTATGGATTGGGTTAGGGTCGAGTTGGGTTGGGGAAGATGACATGGCGGGTTGAGTGACGGGGCGGGTCGGGTTTCACTATTTTCGTGTCAAAATCAGGCTGATTAGGCTATTCCGTTTACCACGTCAACACTTAAAGGACTCCATTAACGGAGTTGAACGGAAATTAACGGAGAGTGATTAAACGTGCACTATTTTACTAATTTGAGTGACCAATTTTGGAATTAAATGCTTATATTGACCAAACATGAACATTTTTAGAAAATCTAGTGACCAAATTTGCAATTTACCGCTGTAAAAAAAAGAAGATGAGAAAAGTAAATAAAGTAGACCTATAAGATGCTCGCCCTTCATTTCCGAATTTTGTCAGCCGTCTATCCCTCCGCGTTTTCTAAAACCCTAACGCCTAGCTAATATCATCTTCACTTCACTGTAAGCAACTCCCATCTCCAACATCCGATCTCGAAGGAAGCTCAGCCAAGCGTGCTAAGTTTACCGGGATCGACCCGCATTCAGGATGGCGGATACTCAGGTGGATTCACTCGTTGCCATCGCCGGGTCAGTCTCCACTTCATCAACCAAGAAACGGGTCCGAATCTTCCGTGATGAAATCCCTCCGATTCTCGATAGTTCAGGCAAGTGAATCGATTCTTCCCAAGCATGGTGTAGGAACGTTAGATGAGAGGGTTGCCGTAGGTGACTAGATCAAGGAACGCGGTCGTCTCTAGTTTCTCTGAACAGTCTTGGCAGGAGAAACTGAACAGAGTTGAACTCAATTGGAACTGACATTTGAATTTGTTGGATAGATAATGTTGCTGGTACCTTTTGGAGGTGATAGTTCGGGTGACATTAAGATTGTGGCCCATGTTTGAATTGTAGAATTTGCTTGTGCATGGCAATATGCGGTTCCCTGCTCTTCCCTTAACACTGCCACTCTTAACCTAACCTACGCAGCTCTTCATACTTTTGATTTATACCTTTCCTTTGTTACTTTAATTTTGACTGGGCTTCTGCTACTTAATGGGCGGGAATTAGCGTGAGAATATATCTTATGAAATGTATCCTTCGGTTCCAACTATATATAGTGTTGTTTACCATACTACTTTTCTTTTATGCTCTAAAGGTCATCTTTTGGTTTGTTCCTCTGTGACTAGAATTCCATTTGTACCATAGTTAGTCCATATATAAGGAACCATCTAGAAGTTAAATCGGCATGCGGACTTTCCTGGTAGCACTTACCTTAAGCATAACGATCATTGTTTGCATGTCTGGTTGCCGCTTAGCAGAAATGGAAAATCTTTCCTCCTGTTAACTTGGCTTTCAGATGGCTGCTACTTTTTTAGTCATCCTGGGTTCTGATATTTAAACTGAAGCAGGTGGTAGGTTCTAGTATTGTCTACTGTTCCATATGCTAAAGAGGAGCTTGGTTTATGTGGAAGTGAATTTGTGTAGCAGCTCTTCTTTTTGTAACTCTTTACGGTCACATATTTTGGCTGGGCTTGTTTACCCTGAAGTAATTTTAAAGTGACTATCTTACTTATAAGTTTATCTATTGATGAATTGAACTGATAAGCTTTACGGTGATCAACGGTCTATTTATGCCTCTGCATCTTTCATTTTTAAGGCTATGTTTTCAGTGCCAATGAGCTCCTTTTGATTTCAATGTCCACCAATGCGATTAAGGTTGTCAAGACGACATTGAATATTTTGTTTTCTGATCCATTTTTATTTCTATATTTTCTAGCTGATGACTTATGCCATCAAATTTGTGATGTAGCTTTATATCTAGTTTGTTTCAGAGCTAGTTAGTGAATATCTTATTTGCTCTTCATCAAATCATGGTATGTCATCTTTTGCAGAGATGTCTCCCGAGCTTATATCCTTGTTGGTGGACGTAATCTTTAAAACTCTGGTTTCTTATGATGACCATGGGTCAAGGAAAGCTGTGGATTATGTGATTACAAAGGGCTTCAGCAACATAATGTTCATGAAAAGTTTCGCAGCAGCCATAGTTCAGGCCATGGAAAAGCAGTCAAAGGTCCAATCTCATGTCGGTTGCTACCGGCTTCTGAAATGGTCGTGCCTTCTTCTAACAAAGAGTCAATTTGCTTCAGTTTCAAAGACTGCAGTATGTAGACTAGCTGCAGTTCAGGCATCTCTGCTTCATATTATTATGCAAAAATCTTTCCGGGAGCGAAGGGCTTGCAAGCAAATGTTCTTTCACCTTTTCTCACAGGTGTCAAATTGTTAGCACAAACTTGTTTGTTTTAGACTTATTGATCATTTCTTCATTGAGGGTTTTTAACATTATATTTGTCTCAGTCGCCAGATGTCTACAAAACCTATCTGGATGAATTGAAGTGTGCAAGGATTCCTTACAAAGATAGTCCTGAATTGCTAAATCTACTGCTGGAGTTTTCTAGATCTTCACCTTCTTTCGGAAAAGTGAAGGTACGAGAATTTTTGATTGTTACTCTTTGCTACATAGGTGGCATCCTGTGGCTTGGTTTACATGCTGTGCCATCTATTTTACTTGGCTTTATTTTAGTTCTTTATGCGGTGTACTGATGACATATTTTTCTGTTTACAGGCAATGTTCATTGATATTTATGTTAAAGCAGTTTTAAGTTCAAAAGAAAAGCCATCGAGGGGGCTTAGCGAATCCTTTCTCCCTCTTTTCTTGCAAATGTCACATGAGGATTTTCTAAATGATGTGTTCCCTCCTTTGGTGAAAATGTTGAAGCGGAATCCTGAGATTTTGCTGGAAGCCGTGGTTATTCTCTTGAAAGCGGTCTCCATTGATATGAGCAAGTTCGCTGTTGAACTTCTTTCAGTGATATTGTCACAGGCACGGCATTCTGAAGAAAGTAGAAGGCTAGGGGCATCAGCCATAGTGCGATGTTTGAGCCAAAAGTCTAGTAATCCTGATGCTTTAGAAGCTATGTTTAATGCTGTTAAAGCTGTAATTGGAGGTTTGGAGCTGTATAATTTTCGAAATTTGTTCCTAGTTTCTATTTTTATTATCTTTTGTAATCTGCTACGAGTTTGTTGCTACTGCTGCTGCTAATTTAGGGCCTCAATGTCGCCAGGCTCCGAGGGGAGGCTTCAGTTTCCTTACCAGAGGATTGGCATGTTTAATTCTCTGCGAGACTTGTCATATGGACCAGATGGGAAATATTTGAACAACATATCTTGTACAGTCTGTAGATTTCTTTTGTCATGCTACAAGGATGAAGGCAAGCAAATTCTTTATGGTTTATTTCTCTATTATTTTGCATGGGTACCTGTAGCCTTTCTGTTTCCTGTTAATTGTTGTCTAGTGCATTTGATTGCTCATTGTGCAAACCAGGATGCCAAGTCAATTTTTTTGGACTAATCATTTTGTTATCTTACATTCGTTTATGGTGATTTCCGTTCAATGTTGATTCTCAGGGAATGAAGATGTGAAACTCACAATTTTGACAGCCATTGGGTCCTGGGCAGCTCGATCAGTGGATGCTGTTCAACCCGATTTAGTGTCTTTCATTGCTTCTGGTCTGAAAGAGAAGGAGGCTTTAAGGCGGGGACATCTTCGTTGTCTAAGAGTCATATGCCAAAACCCTGATGCAATATTACAGGTAAATCTGTCCAATTAAATGAAGATGTATTGCTCTGCGGTCAGCTTCTTTATTCACAGATAATGGACTTGTCTCCGCATTTGGATGTTTCAGTCATATTTTTCCATGTAACCGTTTTTGTCACTTAATGGAATGTGTGCTTTATGTGCTTCAGATCTCATCTCTGCTTGGCCCCCTCATTCAACTTGTCAAAACTGGATTCACTAAAGCAGTGCAACGTTTGGATGGTGCATATGCACTGCTTATTGTAGGAAAAATTGCAGCTTCTGATATCAAAGCAGGTTGATAAAACAACTGTGGTTCATATGATGTTTCTTCTTGTTCTTATTCTCTTACTAGCATGCCCAAAGTTGGAATGTCTTCAGTATGCTTTTTTGTCCTGGCGGACTGAATTGATATGTGTTCCTCTGTCTGTTTCAGAGGAGAATTTGGTGAAGGAAAAGATCTGGTCCTTGATATCCCAGAATGAACCTTCAGTTGTTCAAATTTCTATGGTAACTAGTTTAAGGCTTAGTAATATGGATTTGTCTTGCTTATGCCTGTGTTTGGTGACCGTAGTACATTCATTCATGATTATTCCTACATCTATGCGTTCAAGCTAATCCTTACTCTGAATAATGTTATATGTGCTGACGCACAGGTTTCAAAATTGTCAATCGAAGATTGCATGGCTTGCGTTGATCTTCTTGAAGTGTTGTTAGTGGAACATTCACGCAGGTTAAGTTCATTTGTAGTTTTGCATCTGGCCCTGTGCTATGAGTTTGGAGTAACTTCTAAGTGTTGCTTTCTTTTGTGTTTTGCAGAGTGCTCGAAGCTTTTCCAATAAAATTGATTTTACAGGTGTCGGTTTGCTATAACAATATATTATCTCACTGTGGTAAAAGTTCATTTTTTTTTAAAAAATGCTGGTAAAAGTATAACTGGTCAGTCGTCTTTTGTTGCAGCTGTTGATCTTCTTGCTATGTCATCCAAGCTTGGACATTCGGAAAATGTCACATATGGCTACTAGAAAAATAGTTATGGCTTCTCCGCAATTGTCAGAACCTGTTCTGGTCGAATTCAAACACTTCCTCTCTGCGGTTGGAGAGAAACTCTCTGTTTCAATGATGGGGTACAATCTTACTTTATAGCCTGTCAACACTTCTTTCTCACTTGGGTGACATAAATATATCTAATGCTTTGATTAGGTGTTTTGGTGGTTCACATTGGTGCGTATCATCACCCCAGAAAAAAATATTTCTGTTTCTGTCACTCTAGTGATTGTCATGCTCTTAAGTTGATGTAGATCATAGTCTGATCAATAATTCGGTGAACCAAATCTTACTTCACATGTGTGTAGTGATGCAGATACTACATTGGATGCTCAATTTCCATTTGTTCCATCAGTTGAGATTTTGGTGAAGGCTTTTTTTCTTATATCTTCTGTGGCACTTGCATCTTCTCCAAGTGTGTGTGAGCATATTTTGTTCTGCTCACATCATCCGTGCATTCTGGGAGTTGCTAAAAGAGATGCTGTTTGGAAGGTGAATTTCAGTATCTCTATCTGTTCTTTATATGTGCATCTGAAGTATGATAAAAGAATGAGTAGAAAACCTGCCAACGACTGGAAATTTGAAATATACACGCTTATCTTCTTCGCTATGACAGACGCAGCTCTCAAAACATGCGCTAGCATGATAGTACTCTGCCTGGTTTGAAAGATATGAAAATATAAGCCTAATAATAATAACACTGTGATGGGCAGTTGAGATTCAAAATAGAAATGTTACAAGCATGAAAGAAACTATCTAGTTATGGTTAGCAGTCCAGCACAAGATGAAACATTGGAGTAGTTGGACCTTCTATAGATCAGCTGCTTACTGCCCACCTCTCCTCTTGCTTGATATTGTTTGTTGCAGAGGCTTCATAGGTGCCTGCGGACACAAGGGTTTGATGTGATTGCCACTGTTTCTGCTGGTGCGGAAAAGTTATGCAAGGTAAATGCTATGCACCAAACTTCCAGGGAAATTGCATCTGGACTGTAGTCCCTGATGTTTTTATCTGAATACTATGTCTCATCAGCAGGATCATGTTCTTATAGTTGACAGAAGAAATTTTTTATTTCTGCTCTCATTACTTAATGGCAGTTCACTTCTGGAAATTTGAAATGCCTTCTGATATTTTGTATATTGGTACAACTTTTGGTCATGTGTAAATTAATTAAAATTCTTACGTTGAAAAGTGTTCCGCATGTTGCTGTTCTATTACATTAAATGTCTCATAGTGATGAAGGATAGAAGTTTGAGTTTAACAAACTTTGACTGTTAGATTGACCTGGATTATCACCTTGGTATATTGTATTGAAATCCTCCCAGACCTTGTTCCTTTACTGTTTCATTATTGCAAAAATCAACTAATTGGTACATTTGAATGCCTAGGAAAATGTATTGTTTGCCTGACCGAACTTGCTTCTTGTTTGAGTAATCAGCTATACTTTGGACTGTATATATATTATCTATTAGGCGATTTTGTAAGTAGGGCTCCCTGCAGCTCAGTACTGACCTCTGTCCTTGTCTTTGTCAGGGCCTCCTTGGACTAGGGGGGTTGACGAGTCCAAATGTACTTGAACAGGAAGCAGCTATAAATTCGGTGTCAACATTGATGTCCATAATACCGAGAGACACTTATTTGGAGTTCGAGAAGGTTTGTTACTCTGCTACAAGTGATGCTATTGCATCCGGTCCGGTGCCCAACTCAATATTTTATTGTTGCTGACTCCTCGCTTTTTTTTTGGGGGGGGGGGGGGGGGGGGGTTGTTCTCAGCATTTGGAAAGTCTGCCAGATCGATATTCACATGACTTGCTGTCACCAAGTGATATTCAGGTAAATTTCTTCATTGCTGTAACTTTATGCTTCCTATCCCATTGGGACATTATTCCTTACATTTCTATGTGCTTCTAAACTGGAGTTGATACATTTACTGTTATGATATACAATACACTTTTTCGCATAATCGCCATTTTGACTACTCTATTTGTTGAGTGGTGATCTCTACCAGAGTATGCTTTTTAGAGTTGTCTACTATTTAGATGTGAATCCTAGAGTGCTTTAAATTACTATGTTGTCGAATAGCACCTCTATCCATTCATCTAATTCTACCTATATGCTGGACTCTTTTTGTGAGTTCGACTTTTATCATTATATATTAGACCAACATTGAAGATTTATGCTCACAATATTGATTTGCAGTCTAATAAGAAGTCGAGGGTATTGTGTACGATTTTTCAAAAGGCTACTCTACACTTTACCTCTACAGTCTTCTCCTGCCTTTTTGTCCATAAAAAAATTGATGCGGGGATTTTTGCTATCTATCTTGATAAATTTTATTGGTCAGACCCATTGCCTCCTAAATGTAAGGACAGCTGTGTTTGACTTAAATTATGATTAACCGCCTTACTGTTCAAATGGAAAGTCTTAGTGCAGCTATCCCTTTGTGTACTTCCTTTCCAGCCCCAAGTTATCAACAGCCATTTTAAGGGCTGGTAAGAGGAATGCTTGGAAAGATGCCCAAACACTGGGCTGCATAGTCCTGAGAATTGAAAAATGACATGGAACAGTTTTGTGAGTAAAATATTGCAAAACTCCAGTAGCTCCATTGTCCTCAGTATGCTACTTGAGCCTTGAATTTAAGAAAAGTATTGACTGAAAACTAAACCAGTCATATGTCCTATCCTGACTGTATAGAGACAGTCTTGTTTCAGCTGATGCATACTTTGTCTTGAGCCTGACTCTTTTTTTTTTTTTTGTCTTTTATTCCCGATGAAAGTTGCAAAATTTTATGTCTTGCTTGTCATTAGAAAGTGCATGGAGTCAAAAGACAGGTGCTAACACTAGTCTCTGGCTTGTTTGACCAGATTTTTCAGACTCCTGATGGGATGCTTTCTGGTGAGCTTGGTGTTTATGTTGCTGAATCCCAGAACTCAAAGCAGGTAATAGTACATTCTTGGTTGGTCATATAGCTTTGTTTGCCTTCCTCAACTTCCTCAAAATTATTTCCATTTTGTATTCTCTCTTGACTTTGTTCTGGGCTATGTCCATGGATTGAAATCCACATTTTCTCTTGAGTAGAAATTGACGAGATGAAGAAGCGATTAGTCAATGTTAGCTTATTTTTCTTTCTACTTTTTCCAGAACCATGTTATTTCGAATCACTCTGTGAAGAGGGAACCAGCGGCTGCAGGGAAAAAGGATTCAGGAAAAGCAATAAAGAAGGCTGGTATGTAATTGTTTATTCATATTCCAGTAGGCTGTATTCCTTGGTTTCTAACACTGAAGCGACCATCACAGATAAAGGGAAAACAGCAAAGGAAGAGGCACGCGAGTTATTGCTAAAGGAGGAGGCTTCTATACGTGAGAGGGTACAAGCCATACAAAGGAATCTGTCTTTGATGCTGAGAGCTCTTGGTGAAATGGCTATATCTAATCCTGTGTTTGCACACAGTCAGTTACCTTCACTGGTTTGTATCTAATAACTTTTCATGTTGATATATATTTAACGTATGGATTACTCAAGATCATGTTATCTAATAAATGTGGTACCTTTGTTGTCCGACCCAAACCTTTCTTGCATAGAAAAATCGATCTTAGTGGACATTACAGAAGTTTTTGTTCTTATAGAAAGAATATTCAGAAAAAATTTCATTGTGAACCTCCAGTGAATCAGGCTTTTGTGCTGCAACAATTTGGTAGAAGAAGGGGTGATGGGCACTGATCTTTTCAAACATTATTTGTGGTCTTCAGAACTGCTTGTGATTATGTTTTGTGCTTGTGATTGGATGTCTTGCTCGATAAACCCCTATGGTTTATTCTTGGTGTATGAAAATTATTACTATTTACGGCTACTTTTCTCATTTCTTTTACTACATTCTGAGTGTTTCAGGTGAAGTTTGTCGACCCTTTGCTGCGATCACCTGTTGTTGGTGATGTGGCCTATGAGACATTGGTAAAGCTTGCAAGATGTTCTGCTCACCCTCTTTGTAATTGGGCCCTTGATATTGCCACTGCTTTGCGCCGAATAGCGACCGAGGAAGTTAGTATCGAATTGGATCTGATACCCTTTACTGGCGAAGGGGAGTCCCATTCAGTACCAACACCTGGGATCTTTGAGAGAATTGTTAACGGCTTATCTACATCTTGCAAATCTGGACCTCTTCCTGTAGACTCATTCACTTTTGTTTTTCCAGTAAGCACTTACTTTTCCATTCCTTATTTAGTCCGTTTTAGTCGATCGTCGTACTGTTCTGCTGACTTACTTATAACATGTTTGTTAGATAATGGAGCGGATTCTATTATCCTCTAAGAGGACTGGACTCCATGATGACGTGTTGCGAGTTATATACATGCACATGGATCCTCTATTACCCCTTCCCAGGCTCAGGATGCTGTCGGTAAATTTCAAAACTTTACTTCATGCTTAGAACTGTAGGCCCGACTTCTGTTTTTCCCCCATGTTTCCTTTGACTGCGTTATTTACATTTAATTTTTTGCTTTGCAGACTCTTTATCATGTTCTCGGGGTTGTTCCTGCCTATCAAGGATCTATTGGACCAGCATTGAACGAGTTGTGCCTTGGTTTGCGGCCAGAAGAAATTGCCCCTGTATGCTTTAGAACGAGTGGCTTTCCTAAATGCAATTTTTATCTGTTGCTTACTTTTCCGTGCATTCTTCTTTGGCAGGCTTTATATGGCGTCTATGCTAAGGAGGTTCATGTGAGAATGGCCTGCTTAAATGCCATAAAATGCATTCCTGCTGTTTCCAGCCGCTCTATTCCTCAACATGTGGAAGTAGCTACTGGCATTTGGATTGCTTTGCATGATCCTGAAAAGGTACGGGTTCTAGCTGTACTCTTATTGAATATTATCTTCCAGTTCTATATATGCTTAACGTAGTGGAGCCACTAACTTATCTTCTTTGTTCCTAGGTCCTTACTAGTGTTGGTATATGATTAGCAAAATTGATTTTATTGTTTATGTTGTATAATTAAGAACAATCTCCTGTGTCTGTCGTGCTTGTTTCTTTCATTTTTTTGGGACTCTGGCATGGTAACAGGAGTAACATGTCTTGGCATTCCGAGAGGTCTCTTAGGAATCTTTTCCATTTGGTTTTGCCTCAATGATTTTGCTGTGCGACTGTAGTATCTAGTACCAGTAATCTTTTGTATCATTCCTAGTGGAACAATTTAGCATGAAATTTTATGGTGAATTCTGACGATAGATACCCTGGTATCCTAAAAGCTAATTGTAGTTGTAGAATGGAGTCTAAAGCCTGTATAGACCTTCACTAGGAATCCTGTACTTCTGATGTGGAATTCAAGTCTGATGTCCTGCAATGAGTGTCTCAAAAGCTGAGGGTAGTTGTTTCACTTGAATTACAATTCACACAGAATTGCCCGACTGGTTGCTTTTCATAAGAGTTTGCTGTTTTTTGTTGTTCTTGTATGGTTCTCTATACTGCCTTCTGCTTTTATGCACATAGGTAATTTGGAGGGTTAGTATTGCTGGGGCCTGGGGCATAGAGCATCTCTCGTTGGGTTGAATAATCGTTTTCTGTGGTGGCCTAAAGCATGTCAGGGTTCATTTAGCCTGATTCCTTGGACGTTGAAGACGCTTCATTATTTCTGTTCCTTCAAATCTTCTGCATGTTTGGAATGACATTTGTTAGTTGTCTTACTGTGGACAGTCGATTGCTGAAGCTGCAGAGGATATCTGGGATCGCTATGGGCATGAGATTGGGACAGACTATTCTGGACTTTTCAAAGCACTTTCACATGTTAATTATAATGTTCGGTTAGCTGCTGCAGAGGCATTAGCTGCTGCATTAGATGAAAATTCTGATTCAATACAGGTTTGTATTGATCACTCTAGCTTGTTTTAAAATTTAATGAGCATTTGAACATCATTTTCAGATGCTTTAAGATTCTTCCTTTGATACCATACTGGAGATTCTGCCATGTCTAGTAAATTATAGGAAACAGAACCATTGATGTATTGAGTCATGGTTTTGCTACGGGAAGAACTGTATCTGGTCCTAATTGGGGGGAGCTGTTTCTTATAGTTTGCTAATTGATCCAGGAGACTCTTTCTACTTTATTTTCATCATATCTGCGGGATGTTGGTGGCGGAGACAGTAATGTTGATGCTGGTTGGCTTGGTAGACAAGGAGTAGCATTGGCTTTGCATTCAGCTGCAGACGTTCTGAGAACGAAGGATCTTCCTGTTGTTATGACCTTCCTCATATCTCGAGCTTTGGTAACAGTTCCTCTACGTTGAAGTTCATTATTTTTTCATAGTAGTTCGATGGTAACAAGGTTTGAAACTAGGTGAGGTGGATTTTTCCATCAGCATTACCACCAGGCACAACCCCTTGGGGTTGAAGTTCACTATTGTTTTTGCTGTGTGTGTTTTTTTTAATAAGGGTGATATATGTTTGATGTTTAATTTTTTGGTGCTAATTAAGTGATTCGAACCTGGGACCTCCAGGTTCAAGACCAGCGACTGGACTAAACCCTTGTTTGCTTTTGTTCTGTGTTGTTAATTTTGTTCCAATTGTGTTGGAGTCCTGTGGTCTGTGGATAGTTGTGAGTAGATCAGAAACACTCTAGTTGCTGAATGTTACCAATGACCCTAAATGGGCTTTCACGACATGTAGAGTTTGTTTCTTTTACCAAGCAGAGGGGCATGCAATGCTTTCTAGTGTTGGCTTCTTTCCAATGTAGTTTGTTTTAGGCTTGATGGGATGAAGACTTGTGATTAGCATTTTCTGTTCTTTTATGGATGTTCAACAAAAAATTAGGAAACTATTTTATTTATTTAATTTTTCTTCCTTTACCATTTTATGTCTGCTGTTGAAGTGTTAATTTTCATTTGCATCATCTCCTTTCTAGTTCGTTAGTTTTGTTGGTTGTTTTTTTTAAGTATTTAAGGGCATTTGCTGGTTGGGTCCAAAAGCACCATTTGACAATGTAAAAAGAGCTATTAACCTAGCCTCTAAAGTGGCAAAATCGTTAAAGAACACACACTTATATGCGTTCCTCTTGTTCAGCAGGCATAAACTATCTGCAATTATGCTTAAACACGTTCCTTTTGTCGAATAATTCCCTTGCCCAGATGTCCTTTCACTCTATCTTGCACAACATAAGTGGTCTGCACTTTGCTGTAGTTTAGCACCTTTTTTCCTACATTAATTTGTAATTTGTGCTTTGGATGCTACAGGCAGATACCAACACAGATGTTCGTGGTAGAATGATCAATGCTGGTGTTCTGATTATCGACAGGCATGGAAGAGATAACGTTTCCTTGTTATTTCCAATCTTTGAGAACTATTTAAACAAAAAGGTTAGATTGCAAGCTGAATTCAAGTCCCATTGTGAAGGTCTGAACCTAGGGTCAGTTGGATGTTTTCATCCTCCTTGTACCATTATGTATATCACCATCCTTGCACTTATGTGTCTGAGTATATCTATAAAATGCAGTTGGATCTTTTCCTTCTATATTTGTTTCTTAGGTCAAATCTCGATTCTCAATTTCACTCAGTTCATTAAGAAAAGGGGTCAATTTTATCGCACAGAAGGATGCATCATACCCATTTATCAATGTTGCCACTCGCCCTCTTAACTAATTTTTGTTTCCACCTTCATAGACCATGGATGAAGAGAAGTATGATTTAGTTCGTGAAGGTGTAGTCATATTCACAGGGGCTCTGGCAAAACATCTAGCTCAGGTTTACATTTTTTGTACCCCCGAATTCCATCCCCTTGATTGAGTTGTTCATACTATTTATGCTTTGATTTGAAACTGGTAATATTTATCAGGACGACCCTAAAGTTCATGCCGTTGTTGAGAAACTGCTGGATGTTCTAAATACACCCTCAGAAGCGGTTCAGAGGGCAGTATCAGACTGTTTATCCCCACTAATGCAGTCAATGAAAGTAAGTGGAACCTTTTGTGTTTAGTTAATATTATAAACTGTGAGCTTGTTACTTCTGTTTTCCCCAGCTTGATCATTTAATCACTGATTTTCTCGACACTTCTTCTTGGTGGCATGAGCTAAGTTTTCTGATGTTGCATTCTATTATGTTTCCCAAGGGTGATGCTCCTGCTCTTCTTTCACGACTGTTGGACCAACTGATGAAGAGCGACAAATATGGTGATCGCCGTGGCGCAGCTTTTGGACTGGCTGGAGTGGTTAGGGGATTTGGGTTATCTTGCTTGAAAAAGTATGGAATCATTGCGACATTAAGGGAAGGTCTTGTTGACAGGTACTGCTACCCGCTTCTTAGTGATTTATTGCTTGGAAACTATGTCCATCTTGACAAGTGCCTTGAAATTGCTGTTTAAAGCTTCCTAAGATCTCTGGACAATCTGTTTGGTGGTGACAAACATTACTTTGAGTTGAGAGTTAATGCTGGTCCTTCAATATATTTATTTCCTTATAATTAAGTTAGCAGCGTGCTACTCAGAAAATGCAATCAAGTGGTGCTCCCCTCATACTTAAATGTCACTGATTATCCTTATTTGAATTATTCTTGGTTTTGATTTCCAGGAATTCTGCAAAATCACGAGAAGGAGCCCTCTTAGCTTTTGAGTGCTTGTGTGAAAAGCTAGGGAAATTGTTTGAACCGTATGTATCATGCCTCTTTCTACCAGGGTTGAAAGTTTTCAATTGTGCATATCCTCTGATGGCTCTCTCTTTGTTCTTGGTCCAGTTATGTCATCCAAATGCTACCGGTGCTATTGGTTTCCTTCTCAGATCCAGTTGTTGCTGTTCGCGAGGCAGCTGAATGTGCTGCTCGGGCAATGATGTCTCAACTAAGCGTGATGGGTGTCAAACTTGTGCTTCCATCACTTTTAAAGGTGCTTGAAAGTTGTTTGGGAGTTATAAAGGTCACATGTAGGAAGTATGATTAACTCAAATCACTAGTTTGATATTCACATGCAAAGTCATGGTGATATATGCAAATCACGTTGAGACGATTTAACTTTTGGCAGTAGTTCTGCTGAGAACAACAATGTGGAAACGTAGTTTTTATTATTAGAAGAATGTGGAAACTTAGTTCGGACATTCATTCTAGTCGAGACTAGAGTAGAACTGAATTAAAGTAGTCTATTTAAGGGAGCCCTAGAATAAATGGACACCCCCTTAGCAGTGCAGCTCGTATAGTCCCATATAGTAGTGCACATTGTTATAGGAGTTGCAAATTCTATGACAATGGGACACGATTGTGAACTTTCCTTAATACTTGTTAAATTGGGATAACGTTTTGGATTCCAGAGGGGATCGATTTTACCTGAAACTTAATATCCTTGATGTACAAAATCCATCATGATATTCAGGCTGTGGAGTCTATACTGCGCATTTAAAAAATACTAACAAGTAGGAACATGCTGTGCTAGCAGGGTCTTGAGGACAAAGCTTGGCGTACGAAGCAAAGCAGTGTCCAGCTACTTGGTGCAATGGCATACTGTGCTCCGCAGCAGCTTTCTCAGTGCCTTCCAGCAATAGTGCCTAAACTGACGGAGGTTTGTCTAGCCTTGTAATTATTTGCTGGGGAGAGCAGAAAGTGGTCTGATTCCTGAAATTACTTGGTTAACTTGTAGGTATTGACAGATACACACCCTAAAGTTCAGTCGGCTGGACAAACAGCATTGCAGCAGGTTGTGTTCAGTCTGGTTGATTGGATATTATGTTTCTTTGACCCATATCTGTTGAATTGTTGTTAACATCTAAAAGTGCCACTCTTAGGTTGGAAGTGTTATTAAGAATCCGGAGATATCGTCCCTTGTTCCTACACTTCTCATGGCCCTTTCAGACCCAAATGAAAATACCAAATATTCTCTGGATATTCTCCTTCAAGTAAGAGTTATGGATAAGAAGTTAAATACCCTTGATTACATTTGTTTCCTTATATTAAAGCTAATAAAGTAACACAAAATTGGTGCAGACAACATTTATTAATTCCATTGATGCTCCTTCACTTGCACTGCTGGTCCCTATAGTCCATAGAGGATTGAGGGAGAGGAGTGCAGAAACCAAAAAGAAAGCTGCACAAATAGTTGGAAACATGTGTTCGTTGGTCACAGAATCAAGGGATATGATTCCTTACATTGGTTTGCTTCTTCCTGAAGTGAAAAAGGTAAATCAAGCATTCGATGAAGCTCTTTGTGATTGTCGAAATTATGGTCTCAGAATTTCACTCTTACTTCCTTGGCAAGTAACAGGTTCTTGTAGATCCAATTCCCGAAGTTCGGTCAGTTGCAGCACGGGCGCTTGGATCTCTTATCAGAGGGATGGGTGAAGAGAAATTCCCAGATCTTGTTCCTTGGTTGTTTGATACTCTTAAATCTGATGGTAGCAATGTTGAGAGATCTGGGGCAGCTCAGGGGTTGAGTGAGGTGAGAATCTTCAGCTACACTACATTTGTGTTTCTGATGGGCATCCAACATATACATAGGTTAATTTCATTTGTTTTTCTGGTTTTGGCCAATTGTTTTTTGGTGATTTCATTTTTTAACTGGTGTTTATAACTGCTGTACGCACTTATAATATGCAGAAATGGATAGCATAATGTCGGGTATATTTTCTGTTGAGGTTCCAGGCCATTGTTTTGCCAATCTTGGACTGTTAACCAACTACCAATAGAAAATTGAATAGAACAGTTCTTGAGGATATGCATTGCACGTGATTTAAGTTGTGCCACTAAAATAGCACCTGAACTCTGAATGGCTTTCTTTTGTGATTTTTGAAGCAAGTCTAAGGCGGTTTTGAACATTGACTTAAAATTACTTTTCACTATACAGAAAATGGGGGTTAGGCGCTCTTGTAATGTTTTTTTATCTATTAGTTTTGAATTATGGTACCTACCAATAGTTAGCTTTGAACCATGATTTTAAATGACTTGGCGCACATGTAAGAAGTTGTGGTTACACATTCATTTCCATAGTGTAATTTGTAATGTCTGGTACAACCATTTAATTTATTATGAAAGTCTTATTTAATTTTCATCTACTTCTTCATCTGCTTAAACCCTAAGTTTTAGCTCCTTAAAATGTGGACCAAGGCCAAGCAAAAATAGCTGTAAGTTTATGATGTGATTGTTGGCTGCTCTTAATGTCAGTCGTTTGGGTTTTGTTTTCTCCTGCCATCAGGTGTTGGCTGCACTTGGTGTAGATTACTTTGAGCACACACTTCCAGATATAGTTCGAAACTGTTCTCACCAGAGGGCATCTGTGCGTGATGGATATCTGACACTTTTCAAGGTGAACACGTTATAGACAGTGCTTAAGCTTCTTTCTTGAGGAATTTAATTTGTTATTGACTAATCTTATTCTGGGTCTTAAAATGGGTTGCAGTATTTACCAAGGTCATTGGGGGTTCAATTCCAGAACTATTTGCAGCAAGTATTACCTGCCATCATAGATGGTAATCTTTCTGCTCATTTTTCTTTCGTGCTGACTTAAACATGTACCTGCATTTTCCACCATGTATAAGTTACATTCAGAATATAGGCTCCATCTATTGGCTGATGCATATGTTTTGATGTTCTGGCTGATTATATCTCTCAGGTCTCGCTGACGAGAATGAATCTGTACGTGAAGCAGCATTAGGTGCTGGCCATGTCCTAGTGGAGCACTATGCAACAACGTATTCACTTTTTTCCTTGAAGACATTTTTGTCCCTTCAATTTGTCATGTGTTCAGCTTCTAATTTTGTTGATTGGTTGAGTACGGTTGTTATCAATACAATTTTTGGATGCTAGTAATGTTTTCTTCTCATCACCTGGCTGGTCATAAATATTTTCGATACTGGCATTATTTTTTTCTGTTGTGGCAACTAATCATTTGCATTGTTATTTTTTCCTTCTTTTCTATCCAGATCCTTACCTCTTCTTCTTCCGGCTGTTGAGGATGGTATTATCAATGACAATTGGCGTATCAGACAAAGCTCTGTCGAGCTGTTGGGTGATCTCTTGTTCAAGGTATACTTGCCGCCTTCTATTAATGTTCTTGTGCCGGATTCTTCAAAAAAAAAAAAAAAAAAATGAAGAAGAAGATAAATAATAATTAATTTGTCCCTTCTTTTAGGTTGCTGGAACTTCTGGGAAATCTTTGCTGGAGGGAGGCAGTGACGATGAAGGTGCCAGTACTGAAGCGCAAGGGCGTGCCATTATTGAGGTTTTGGGTAGAGATAAGCGTAATGAAGTTCTGGCTGCATTGTACATGGTCCGGTCAGATATCAGTTTATCTGTCCGTCAGGTGTGAGGCTTAAAATCTTTTTGCTTTGGTGTATTTCGCTTTTTATTTTATTTCTTTTCTTATAATTTGTGTTCTTCTTTAATCAGGCTGCCCTGCACGTATGGAAAACTATTGTGGCAAATACTCCCAAAACTCTGAAGGAAATAATGCCAGTATTAATGAATACTCTAATAGCTTCACTTGCATCATCGTCATCAGAAAGGCGGCAGGTTGGAAATCGTACATTCAGTTTGGAAATCTCTTTATCATTCGTTAGAATGAATTTGCTAATTGAGAGATTTGATGGTTTACAGGTTGCTGGACGTTCGTTGGGTGAACTTGTTCGGAAGCTTGGTGAAAGAGTACTTCCTTTGATTATCCCAATCTTGTCGCGGGGGCTGAAGGATCCTGATTCCGGCAGAAGACAAGTTAGTTTTTTACAGTGCAACCACCGCATTCTATTTGTTTCTCTCTCAATATTTATCCGCCTGATGTGTGCGCACACGACAGTACAAATAACATAGATAGGCAACTCATTCGGTTTTGAGCTGACAATATTCATTATGAAATAAACTAATGGATGCCTCAAAACTGCTCTCACGTTTCATTGTTTGCCTTAGTAGGCATGAGTTTGCTGCCTTTGGTCTACTGATGCCCGTTGGGAATTTTGAAATCCATATCTACCATTGAAGCTAACAAGCTTATGCTGTCTGCTGACGTTTTAGCTTGCATTGTTGCGTTCTTAGTTTCTTGTATATTCTTGATGACAGGGTGTATGCATTGGTCTAAGTGAAGTGATGGGAAGTGCAGGGAGGAGTCAGTTATTGAGTTTCATGGATGATCTTATCCCAACCATAAGGGTTGCCCTTTGTGACAGGTTTATCATTTGCTTAATGCTGCTGTAGGCTGTAGCTACCTTTGATATGGTCATTGTATGACGATTTTGCAATCTTGGTGACAGCGCACTAGAGGTTCGCGAGTCTGCTGGCCAAGCATTTAGTACCCTGTACAAGGTACTTATCGTTCTACTTCCATTGTAAAGATTGACATAGTTTGCAGAAAGTGATGTGGTATTATTGGGTGAGGAATGCACTAAATGGTTCTTATTCAGAGTGCTGGAATGCAAGCAATCGATGAGATAGTCCCTACTCTGCTCCATGCCCTAGAAGACGATGAAACTTCTGACACTGCTCTGGATGGCCTGAAACAAATCTTAAGGTAACATTTAGTGGATATTTATATAAATAGTTAACTCCATGTCTGGTGCTAAGTTGCTGTAATTGATTCAGTGTTAGGACAGCGGCTGTGCTACCTCACATTTTGCCTAAGCTGATCCATCCTCCTCTAACGTATGTACTATCTCCCCTGCTTTCTCTAGTGTATATATGTCTGTCAGCCATCAAAATCTGAGTGCTTATGTTCTTATTATGTCTTTGGGATTCAATGCAGAGCCTTCAATGCGCATGCCTTAGGAGCCTTAGCAGAGGTTGCTGGACCAGGTCTTAATGTTCATCTTGGAACTGTACTTCCTCCTTTACTCTCAGGAATGGGCGATGATAATAATGAGGTATATATGTTGGTTGAATTTGATGGTGTAGTATTTGGCTTTAGGTCTTATTGCAGCTAATCTTACTGTCCAGATGAATTTTTTTCTTCTGTTGCTGGAAAACTAGTTCTTCTTATTTTTGGTCTTCATGATATCACTTTTTATATTGTTTAGGAAGTTCAAAATATGGCTAAGGAAGCTGCGGAAACAGTGGCCTTGGTGATAGATGAAGAAGGTGTCGAGTTTTTACTGGGAGAGCTTCTTAAAGCTGTTGGAGATAATCAGGTATATTGATTCATTGTAGCTGTTTTCCTGGGACAAAAAGGAAAGAAATGATGAAGTCTTCCCTTCAGTATGTTTCTAACTTTTATCGTTGCTTGTTGTTATGTTTTCAGGCTTCAATCAGAAGAAGTTCATCATATCTGATTGGATACTTGTTCAGAAATAGCAAATTGTACTTGGTTGATGAAGCTCCAAACATGATATCTACTCTCATTGTTTTGCTAAGTGATTCTGACGCTGCAACGGTTGAGGTATTTTCATGCATAATTCTAATTATTCTCTTGCTATTATGGTGCAACTTATCTGACATCGAGTTGTAGGTTGCTTGGGGAGCTTTATCGGCGGTTCTTGATTCTGTTCCCAAGGAGCTACTTCCTTCATATATGAAACCAGTACGGGATGCCGTATCAACGGCTAGAGATAAAGAGCGCAGGAGAAAGAAGGTTACTTACTTCTATAGTGCATCAATGATGATTAGAAGTATCGTTCTTGTTGACTGACTTGCAGGTGCTTTTGGTCACATGATTAAATTGCAGGGAGGATCAGTTCTTATTCCAGGCTTCTGTCTGCCTAAAGCACTCAGGCCATTGCTTCCGATATTTCTCCAGGTATGGATATTCTTATATGTTTCTTGTGAGAGTATTCAACCTTAAAATTTCAACCTAAGTTATGCTATATTTTGGGGGTAGGGGTTATTATGGATATGATTTTCTTTTTATAAAAGAGTCGATATCATCAAGTTGTATTTGGTGCTTCTGTTATTTTGGTCAAATTGTTAGGCAAACTGCAATTTTATGTCTACAGGAGTACTCCAAAAGATGCTCCATTTTGCGGCTCTAAGCTACCTACTAATCCATCTTCACCCAGTCAGATTATGTGCAGAAATTTTTGGTTGGCCATATATTTGTTTGATTACTCTCGTTCCTACATACTTCAGTCTCGTCGGTTATTAGTAATACCCAAGTAAGCTGGTAGAATCTTAAATCTTAACGAAAATCACACACAATAATGCAACTACTGTGTTATAATAGAGAAAGAGTAGAGAGATTGCAGGGGATTTAAATCTTTCTCACTAGCTCACAGTGCAAATAATATTTTGTGGAGGTCTAGAGTTCACCGGAACAACTTTTATATTCTTCATTTAAAAGGGAAATCTTGCCACTGGCAAAAGACTGGCTCGTGAAATTTCTTTTGGTATATAGATCGAGAATTCGAGATAGTTCATCAATTATTGGTACTTGTGTTGATGATGGCATAAACATTTCCCTACTCTGGTACCATACATGCATAAGATAACTGCTTCTAGCTTCTGAAATAAGGAAATTTGGCTGAAATGACTAGATCTGCCAGATAAAAAAAGAGCCACTTAGATGGTGATGTGTTGCCAGATGAAAGGTTCAGTGAGTACCTATGAAAATTACACTTGCAGCAACATGTTCTCATTACCAGTTCCTAGGTTTGGTGCTTCCTTTGCAAGTTGGGTCCTAGAACTGTTCAACACCTCATTAGGTTCATGCAGTGAATTTGAGCTCTTTATTTTCATTTGGATTCTTGTAGCTGGGTTCTTGAGCTGTTGTGATGCTGAACTGTTGGTTGGGACCTAGAACTGTTAAATAATTCATTATCATATACTGGTTTCGTTTCAGCTCTTTGTTGGCCGTTGTGCATTTTGTTTCTGTTCTTCGGTACCAACCCTATGTATGCACCTTCTTGCTTTTCAACTTATGATGCTGATTACTCTCATTTGCTGCGTGTATTAGGGTTTGACGAGTGGTTCTGCCGAGCTTAGAGAGCAAGCTGCACTTGGGCTTGGGGAGCTTATTGAAGTGACTAGTGAACAGGTTTTGAAAGAGTTTGTCATACAAATCACTGGGTAAGTACCATGGAGTATGAATTTGCCAAACACAACACACTCCAGTTGTCCTCCCTAAACTCTCCTGTGTTCAATGGCATATGTTCCTTCCCTTGAATATTTTGCACATCTACTTTTTTCTACTGTGCAATAAGTCTATTATATAATTCACATTACTGTATTAAATAGTGTCTGACAGCTCTATATTACAGGCCTCTGATCCGTATCATAGGGGACCGCTTCCCCTGGCAAGTGAAAAATGCAATTTTATCTACGTTAATTATCCTGATAAGAAAGGGTGGCATAGCCCTGAAGCCTTTTCTTCCTCAACTTCAAACAACTTTTATTAAGTGCCTACAGGACAGTACCAGGTGAGTTTGGAAAATATGCCAAAAAGTAGTCCTACGTCCAAAGTTTATTGCTAGGTTGTCAATGTTTTTAGTTTGTACAACTTTGTTACATAGCTCTCTTTTTGTAGTTGAGATGTTTAGGGGATTAATTCCCTTTGATTATCTTTTACAGCTAATAGGTTCCTACTCCTTTCATGGTTAATTCCTTAATTGCGGCATGTTTATGGTACCATCTGAATGCAGAATGGTTCGAACAAGTGCTGCCCTTGCACTTGGGAAACTTAGTGCGCTAAGTACTAGGGTTGATCCTCTCGTGAACGACCTTTTATCAAGTTTACAGGTACCTTTTATCCAGTTCCCTTGCAAGACCTTAGGGTTATTGTTGTTAACATCTCATGTGTTTTTCTTGCTGCACTTATCAGGCATCCGATTCTGGTGTAAGGGAGGCAATACTTGCAGCTCTAAAAGGTGTCCTAAAGCATGCTGGTAAGGGTGTGAGTGGTGCTGTCAGAGTTCGTGTCTACAGTCAACTGCAGGATTTGATTAGTCACGATGAAGACCAAACTCGAATATCTGCTGCCAGCATGTTGGGTATCACGTCACAAGTATGATTTCATTTTATTTTTATGCTTTGGACCTTGATTTATGACTATTGTTTCCTTTACATGATCCATACTGTGTAACTGATTTATATATTTGTTGTTTATAGGAATAAGTTGCTTTCTCATTTATTGATACCATAGCTGTCATGGTAGAGTCAATAGACTTGCTTTGGTTAGCTGCAGGCTGTGCATTTGGGTGTCATCTTTGGCTGTCAGGAAGCATGATTAATTTTTGTTCCAGAATTCTAAAGGTTTATTTAGAGCGGCAAACTCCAATAACTGCTGCCCATTAACATGTATTGGGATGCTTTTGAACTGGGAAAATATTGCACCTGTCAATAGGTTTCAATCTCATAGCCATGATGAAGCCATAAGTAGAAGCTGCGCTCCATCTAGACTAGTAATTCGAACTGGTGTCAATTTGATTGTATTTAAATGTCAGACAGTACAAAACAGAGTCTTATACCAAGTTGTGGTAAATTTCGAGTATAGTTTTTGTGATGACAATTACTTCTGCTGCTTTTTTCATTTCACTACTAAATGCTGCTTTTTTCTCATGATTTAAATCTTAATCCTGTTATAGACTTATTTGATTATTTGCTTATCTGGATGCCTCATTTATCACATTACAGTACATGGACGATTCCCAGCTGGCCGACCTGTTTCAGCAGCTAGCGGACCTGCTGTTACCTTCTTCAAATTGGGTATCTAGGCATGGATCAATACTAACTATTGCATCCATGCTCAGTTACAACCCTTCGTCTGTTGTTAATAGCCCAGAATTCCCATCCGTTTTAGACTTTCTGAAACGCTCGTTGAAGGATGAAAAGGTGATTTATCCTTTACTAGCCCGGAGTGCTACAGCTTTGAGTTTCTTATACAACAACCTACTAAGCTCTATTTTATTCAATCTCCAGTTTCCTCTTCGCAAAACTTCAACTAAGGCAGTAGGAAGGCTATTGCTGCATCAGATTGGAAGTGAGCCTTCAAAAGCCTCCACATATGTTGATTTGCTTTCATGTCTAGTTGGATCATTGAACGATGACTCGAGTGAAGTGAGGAAAAAGGCCTTATCTTCTATCAAAGCTGTTGCAAAGGTATACTCATCTATCTCATTCTGTGGTACCACATATGTATATGTTGTGCTTATCAGATGCTTGATGTGTCATCAATGGCTTATGTAGGCAAGTCCTTCCTTTGTGATAGCCAATATTTCATTGGTTGGTCCTGCACTTGCTGAATGTCTGAAAGATGGTAGCACGCCAGTGAGGCTTGCTGCAGAAAGATGTATCCTCCACACATTCCAGTTGTCAAAAGGTACTCTCCCTCGATAAATGCCCTGGCTGAACTCTGCTGTATTCTTCGTTTGGTGTGTTTTCCCCTATACATTATCAGTTAGATGTAGTATCATGAACAGGGAGGTAAGAGGTGCAAAATTGCGACCCAACCCAACCCAACCCAACCCAACCCATTAAATTTCATTTGGGTTTGACCCAAATCCATTGGGTTTCTTGAAATCATCATGTGGTACCTAAACATTTTTACAGTTTAGTTCAGACAATTAGACAAAGCTTTGTATCCAAATTATGTGTATTACATTTGAGGACGCAAGTTTTCCGAATTTTCCAGTTTGGTGAAATTTAATCCAATGATTGATTTTGTCAGTTCAGCCCCTGAATGGGAAATTTTATATATTGTGGAATCCATTTACCAAATCCAGAAACCCATTTTAACCTAATCCAAGAACATATGGACCTGCAAATGCAATCCATTTACCACCTCTAAGTTTAGCCATTGCGAACATGATTCGTGGTTTTATGGTGTATGGGTTTGTGTTTGTTACCCTTAATTCATTTATTGTGTTTTGTATTTGAGCCGAATTTGACCATGTAGATGTCTGTCAAAAATCAAAAATACTATTTTGCAGGCGCAGAAAATGTTCAGGTTGCTCAGAAATTTATCACTGGCTTGGATGCTAGACGACTTGCGAAGTATTCCGAACAGAGGTAGAGTTCAATATTCACTTTTTTTCTTAAACCCTTATGTTCGGGTGTAAATACTTGCTCTGGTTATGATCATTACCTTTGGTCACTGTGAAATGCAGCGATGCCAGCGACGACAGTGACGATGATTCCACAAGTCTCTGAAGTGCTTAGGGAAACTAAAAACGAACTTTGTGGCAGCCAGTTTTTTGTCATATAGGAACACATAGCTACTCGCAGATACATAGGCAGTAGAGAAATTTTGGGATCCAAATTTTCGTTGCTGTAGTTGAGCTTTTGAAATCAGTATCTAATGAGTTCTGGATATATAGATAAAGAATTAGCTCCTCCCTATGGTCGATTTTGATTGAAATAGAAGAGGCATAACTGCTCTAGAGTAAAATGTCTGTGATTTGACCTGGAAACTTTGGGTAGTCACTGTTTTGTTCAGATACTGGGCAAGGAACCTCGTCTATTTACTCCTGTGAGGAGTTACCATACCGATTTGGGATGAGCGGTTCTCTTGTTGAATGTAACAGCTTTTAGTGAACAAATTTATGCTGATGCTGAAGTTGTTAACCTTCTCTGTTTTCACCTTTGTTCGTTATTGCTTCAGCCTATCGCATGGATCGACCAGTTTGCTTTGTAACAAGAGTTGAGGCTGAACTCTGATACAATCTGTTCTTCTATTTGCCCTCCTAAGTCTGGTTTCTCTTTGTTCTTTGTTGGCTGCGACCAAGATGATATGAATTTGCACTGCCAATGCAGTTGCTTTCCTCTCCCTGCACCTTGTCTACCTCGCCTCGTAGCGGTATGAGATTCTTACTAGCCCGGGACATCAACAGCAGTTGCTAACTTGCTGTCCACCCAATTCCTTCAGCTTATAGAAAGTCACGCAATTTTTCAATTTCACTATGGTACACACAGCATTTTGTGTGCACCAACTCACACGGCAGGAAGGAGGTCACGTTGCCAAGCCAGTAATGGTCGGCCATGATTGAGCGAGCTGGGACTAAGAGAGGAAAGAGGAAAAGTGAAGCCGCGCAAGTCGAGCCAAAAACTGAAGGGAGGGAAAGGTGGTGGGGTCGCGGAGTTTGGGTTTTGAAATTGAAAAAAATGCCTCTTGTCTCCTCCTCCACTCTTCTTCCTTTTCTCTGCTCCTTCTTTCTCTATTCTTCTTCTTTCTCCGCCATTTTCTTTCTCTGTTTTGCTCTCGTCGAACCAGAGCAACACATACCACCCCTCCCAAAAACAAAGAAAAGTGAGGAACACCGGAACAAGAAAAGCGTCGAAGAAATCGTCTTCTCTTGTCGGCGACGAGCAGCCCAGTTGATAACCAGGAGAGCTTCGACGAGGAAGAATCGTCCTTCCTCGAGTTCTTTGTATTTCGGCCGACCTTTCTCGCCTATTAATACCGGCGAGGACGATTCTCTCTGTCCTTTTCTTTCTAGCTGTGGGGTTTTGCCTTGAATCCCCCTTTTTGCTTCATTCTTGAGTGTTTAGGGTTCACTAAATACGCGTTTAGGGTTTTTTCGGCACACCTTCAAAATCGACTCGATTCTCATGGGTATTCTTAAGAATGTGTCTTGTGTGGGCGAGATATGTGAATTTTGTGTTGACCAAGTTTTTGGGTTGTTGCTTAGAATCGGTTGTTGCTTAGAATCAGTAAATATGGTTGAATCCAAAAGTTGTTGTTACCGTAACCTTCAATCTGTTGAATACTGTTGATTTGTGGTTTGAAAATTAGTTATATAATGTTGGCTGTGTTGTTGACGAATACTAGTTCTTCTGATTTTTAATATTAGTTGTATAATGTTGACTGTGTTGTTGACGAATACTAGTTCTTCTGATTTGAGTATTGTTGTATAATGTTGACTGTGTTGTTGGCGAATATTAGTTCTTCTGGTTTTGAATATTAGTTGTATAATGTTGACTGTGTTTTTGGCGAATACTAGTTCTTATGATTTTGAATATTAGTTGTATTGATTGAAATTGTTTGTCTGCAGTTAGATTAATACTGCATGTTGAAAGTTCTGAATATTAGTTCTCTTCATTGTGTTGTGTTTCCCCCTTTTCTGAATACATGTGTTTGTGGTCTACAGGTTTGGAATAATGGTGCGAACCAAGAAGCGTGTTCCTGGAACTATGAAACGACCGTTAGTAGATCCTCCTCCTGCTGAAGATGTTCTTCCTGTTGCTGAAGATGTTCCTCCTGCGTCTGAAGATGTTCCTCCTGCTATGAAACGACAACGACCCTTAATAGATCCCCCTTCTGCTGGGAAGTCTGGTGGGGAGTCTTCTGGGAATGCTGCTGCGGGGAAAGTTGCTGAAGATGTTCCTCCTCCTACTGCTGAAGATGTTCCTCTTGGTCCAGAAGATCAGGTTGCAGCAAAAAGAGTTAAGTTTGCTGCTGGGACGTCCGGTGAGACCTCTACAGGGAAGTCTGGTGAGACTTCTGTTGGGAAGTCTAGGGGGAAGTCTTCTGGGAAGAAGTCTGAGGGAAAGTCTTCTGCGAAAGCTAGGGGGAAGTCTGCTGGCAAAGCTGATGTGGGGAAGTCTGTTGGGAAAGCTGCTGTGGGCAAGTCTGCTGGGAAAGATGGGGGGGAAGTCTGCTGGGAAAGGTGTGGTGAAGTCTGCCGGGAAAGATGGGGGGAAGTTAACGGATGAGAATGCTAGGCCTCCCGATCGTAAGGCCGTCAAGCAGTTCATCCTGCTAGCCCTTGCCTCGCTTCTCCGACCATCATGGTCACGGATTTGTGAGCTTGATTATGCGGGGTTCCTTGTTGGGAAGATTGAGCGGGTAAAAAGCTACAACTGGTCCGGCCTTGTTGTAGCTGAACTGAAGAGTAGCCTTGCTGCAATTCAAGGAAAGGAATTTCTTGACTGGGTCCATGGAGATGTCCACTTCCTCATTGTAAGTTTTAAGTATTTGTTCTTTCATATATGTTTTGAATATTAGTTTTATCCTGCTTGAATAATACTTTGAATGTGTTTGAATATGAGTGCGAATGTGCTTGATTATATTGAGTGTATGTTATTTGAATATGACTCTGAATTTTCTGAATATGAGTCTGGGTTATTGAATATTACTTTGAATGTGTTTCAATATATGAGTTCGAATGTACTTGATTCTAGTGTATGTTAGTTAGAATGTTTTTGAATATGTTTATTTGAATATGTGTTCGAATGTGTTTAAATATGAGTATGGGTTATTTGAATATGAGTCAATATTTTCTGAATAGACTTGGTTATTTGAATATCAATTCAATCTGATATGAATACTACTGTGTGTGTTCTATGAATATGTGTCTGAGTTGTTTGAATATCACTTTAATCTTGTCTCGCCATTTAAATTCTTTTTTTCTCACCAATCTAACATCTTCCTCTTATTTGACTGGCAGGTCCATTTGTTGGATTTTTTGAAGGTCAAAGGTGTTGGGAACTTCATCACCCCAACCTGTAGCTACTGGTTCAAGGATCGTCAAATGAAGGTTGTTGAAGCCATCCATACCATGGGCAATGGTGGGATAGCAGGTTTGTTGATGACAAGACCAGAAGTTCGACAGAGGTTTGGTGGTTCTGTTGAAGATAAAGGGCAAAGCAGCACACAGGATCCTGATGCTCTTGAATTTTACAACTCTTCTTGGTGGGAAAAGGACGACTTGGAGCGCATGGATGAAGATCAGGTACGTTTAACTTTTTTTTTTCCGAACATACTAGAGTAAGGTAGATTGCATGAACTAAAAAAATTTACACATACTTGTAGCTTAAGGTGTTGAAGTGCATTTGAATGAGTCCATGTTCAATAAGTGGAAGGCACGGCTTGCAAGATTAAAAAACGCGCAGCCCCAATGTGGAGAGGAATGAGTAGCTTTCATGAAACTAGATGTAATAGATGTTGAGATTTGGGTAGTTTGAATAATTTGAATACTATTTCCATGTACGTTGAATACTATTTCCATGTACTTTGTTAGGATGATGGACGGATGTTTGGCGTTCTTGTTTGATGCTATTTTGATGCTTTTTTTAGTACTATTTGGATGAGATTGAATAAAGTGTGTTATCAATGACCTAAATACCTATTTTCTGTCTTTTTCTAGCTAAGGGTTTGCCGTAGTGTGTGTCTGAATGAGGGGAAAAGATGGCTGGAATTGACCACACAAATTGGCCACATACTTGAGAAAATGGCTGAGAAGAACAAGCCATCTGAGCAGGATATTGAGGAGCCGACGACGGAGGAGGTTCCTTCGCCCTTTGTTGAGCCGACTCCGGTGTCTGGGGATACGCCCACTCCGGCGTCTGTTGAGAAGGCCACTCCGACGTCCGTTGAGAAGGCCACTCCGGTGTCCGTGGAGAAGCCTACTCCGGTGTCCGTGGAGAAGGCCACTCCGGTGCCCGTGGTGGCTCCAGTTACTTACCAGCAAAGAAAACCTGTTCCAAGTACTGCTTCTTCAACACCAACGGTGGAGGTGGTTATTAAAGGCGACGAGGGGGAGCTTACGACAATATAATGGAAGAGAACGGACATGAAAACTCCGCGCTTCGAGAGGTCGAAGAGAAAGCCAGAAGTATTATCCGGCTATGTCCTCTCCAACACTGTTACTTGCAAGTTGGACCCTTTGCAAAAGACGATAGTTGAGTTCTCACTTAGTACGAGTGATGAGAACGAGTAAGTATTCAAGTGTTATCCAAACAATATTCATTTTATTATTTACACATGCGTTTTCATAAAAGTGTGTTAAATACTTTGTCCTTTTTACAGTTCTACGGAATTTGTGGAGACTGCGAAGTGCAAGGTGTGCCAGTTTCATTTGCTGAGTTTGAAACGTACTGTATGGCTGAATCGTGTCATTGTTGAGGCATTTGGATACTACCTCAACGACCTGAATGTCACAAAGAATGGGAAGCTGACAAAATGCATCTTCCCTATGGTTTTTGCTGTAAGTAAAATTAGACTTTCAATGCATGTCATGAATAACCATGCTCTTCAATTTCTACACAAGTTCTTGTTTTCAATGCAATCACAGGACAAGGCAACTGAAAATTTTAAGAGTGGGGCAACAATAACTGCAAGTCTCCTGGATGAGGCATTTGCCACACTTGATCGAGATCCAGTATTTGAAACTGCCGACTTTAAAGGATGCAATTATGTGAGTGAACTATTT